GGAGGGAGGGAGGGAGGGAGGGAGGGAGTGAGGGAGGGAAGGAAGGAAGGAAGAAATCTCCCAACACATTACCTGTATTTCCTCCATCAGTTTCATTAACACCACAGTTCTCAGAGCCTGCTCGTACAATCAGTGTGAACGCTTCGTGTTTCTCTCGATCAACAGCATCTGGGTTTGCTACTTTGATCATTCCTGTGGAGATATAAACGACATGTGAATTTTTCGGTCGAAATATGCATGTTGTGCTATAAAATTTACTTTGTAAAAAAAAGTAAATGAAAAATGGCAGAAAGAAAGAAAGAAGGAGGAAGAAAGGAAGAAAGGAAGAAAGGAAGAGAAGGAGAGAGAGAGAAATAGAGGACTGAACTGAACTGGTTTTTAAAAATAAACGATTGAGGCTTTGCACCATCACGTGATGGCAACCACGACAGGACGATAGGGTCTCATTCCCCTGGAAAACTGAATGATTTTTCATGTCAACCAGATTAGACTGGATTCAATTGTTTCTGCCTCCTATCGTGGCTATTATCACGTGACGGTGCAAAGCCTCTATTCCTTTCACTTTTCGTTGCTTTACAAGAAAGTTGTGTGTGTATGCGTGTGTGTGACAGAGAGAAAATCATATGATAAAGCATGTAAAATGTTACACAATACAAAGAATCTTGGTAACCGCAGACCTCTGATTGTCAACCGCATATCTTTCTAAATGTTCGCTGATCATGAGTCCATGGATGATTAAAAAAAAAAAAATTTTATTAGGATCATCAAAGGTAAAGGACAACTCACCTGTTTTTTGATCAATAGTAAACGCCCCACCAGGGTTTCCAGACCTAATATAGTAAGTAACATTCTCTTGATCCACATCAGTAGCCAGCACCTGGACAATCTCGGCTCCCAGCGCAATATCCTCAGACTTAGTGACGTTGTATTCTGAGTACTGGAAGACTGGACAGTTATCATCCTCGTCGATGACGTCAATGATTACATCAGCTAATGACGTCAATCGGGGGTTCCCCATATCTAATGCTACAATCTTAAGTACATAGCGTTCTTGTCTTTCACGATCGAGTCCTTTTCTCGTTTCGATTTCTCCGGTATAGATGTCCAGAGAAAATAAATTTTTGTATTCATCCGTTTGGAATCTAAATTGTATCCGAGCGTTGTAACCCGAGTCTGCGTCGTTGGCGGTTAACCGCATGATGTATGTGCCTGCGGGCTTATTCTCCTTGACGCTTCCCCTTAGAGAAGTGGTATTGAATATTGGTGCATTGTCATTGACATCGAGGATGTTGATGTACACCTTGGTGGTAGATTGTAGGGGAGGGGTCCCTAGGTCTGATGCTTGTACGGTTAATGTATAGGCGTCTTGGCGTTCACGGTCATGTGCTCTACCAAGGGAAATGATCCCTGGGGAAAATAAAATTAGGGAATCAAATTACATCATTTGCTACACGATTGGTAAAATCGGAAGGTTTTTGTAATTTAAATATTTTGATCGCAATTGCACTTTTTGCCCTACAATTTCTTAAGGTGTAAAGGTTAGGTAATACTTCCGATCGTCCTTAATCCTTTCTCCCGACCACACACTAACATACAAAGATAATGGTAAAATACTGCTTCTGTATCAGCCCAATTCTCCCGACCACACATTCATTCACAGATATAAAGGCAAGGTAATGCTTCCGACCACCACCTTCCGCAATCCGACCACCACCTTCCTCGATCCGACCACACGCTAACATACAAGGGTAATGGTAAGATGCTGGTTCCGACCAGCCCAATTCTCCCGACCACACATACATTCAAAGACATAAAGGCAAGGCAATGCTTCCGACCACCACCTTGCTCGATCCGACCACACGCTAACATACAAGGGTAATGGTAAGATACTGCTTCCGACCAGCCCAATTCTCCCGACCACACATTTATTCACAGATATAAAGGCAAGGTAATGCTTCCGACCACTATTTCCCTCGATCCGACCACACAATACATATGCATCGAACTTACCAGTATTGTTATCAATAGTAAACATTCCGTTCTGGTCCCCACTTGTTATTCTGTACTCTACTTTACCAGCGTCGCCAAGATCTCGGTCAACTGCAAGAACGTCTGCAATTATTGACCCAACGGCTTCATTCTCACTTACATTGGAATAGTAAGGCTGGTTTTCAAATCGTGGAGCATTGTCATTAACATCTTGAAGTATCACGTGAATGGTTACTGGCTCGGATGTGAGTCTAGGGTATCCGTCGTCTGTAGCGGTGCATGTGAGGGTAAAGCTTGGCGTAGTTTCTCTGTCCAACGTTAAGACATTTCTGATTATTCCTGTGTCTGATTCTATTGAGAAGAACCTTGTTGGTAACATGGAGTAGGAAAATTTTGCATTGTTTCCTAAATCACGATCACTTGCAAAGATCTGGGCAACAATCGTGTTGACAGTGATGTTCTCTGGAGCAGTCACGGAATACGAGCTGTCATTGAATGTTGGACGGTTGTCATTGACATCGGTGACGTTAATGGTTACTATGGCAGCGTCAGTGCGCGCTGGTGTCCCACCATCTGCTACAACAACTTGTATAACGTATTTATCTTTGGTCTCCCTGTCTAATGGCTCGGCTGTCGATATACTTCCGCTTGTTGGATCGATATTGAATCGGTTGCTGCTCGGGTAGCTGGAATTCAGGGTGTATACAAGGACACCAAATGGATCTTTGTCAGTAGCAAAGACTCTAATAACTTCAGTTAAATTGTTTTCCTGTACGCTCGCGAAATAGGCGCGTTGTCCAAAGAGTGGATCATTATCATTGACATCAACAACATCAATAATGACGCTTGCATTAGTCGTTCTTGCACTATCACTTGCGCTAATTTCCAGTGTGTATTTGCGCTGTTTCTCGTAGTCTAGAAAGCCGGACGTCGTTATCAGACCGCTGCTGGGGTTAATTGAAAATAGACCTTGGGTGTTACCGCTGACTATCTGGTAACGAACAGCCGCGTTTGCTCCGAGATCAGCATCGGTTGCCTTGACAACTACCACACTAGATTGCCTTGGAGCGTCTTCGCGAATGTTAACTGCAATAAAAATATACGAAGAAATGTGGGACACATTCAATGGCATAGACAAATATGAGCACTGATTGGCTGAAAGATACAGTAATGAAATAACATGCAAGATCACGTGACTATTCACCTCGGTAAATGCTTTTTTCAAAAGCAGGAGCGTTGTCATTGACGTCATCAACTCTGACGGTAAATTTTTTGTCAGAAAACAAGACTGGCGAGCCTCGATCAGACGCTCTGATGGTCAGTGGATACGTTGCCATGGTTTCACGATCGATTCTTCCCATGACAGTAATAACCCCAGTGCTTGGATTGATAGCAAGCACATTTTGTGCTCCTTTGATAATCGAGTACACAATCTGAGAATTACTTCCCACGTCAGCATCGGTTGCTGTGACAACACCTACCAACGTGTCACGTGGTACATTTTCCTCGACACTGAATGAAGCATTTTGATTGGTGAAAACAGGGGCGTTGTCGTTTTCGTCTATAACGGTTATGGAGACGGAGGTCGATGAGTTTTTTTTCGGGCTTCCTGAATCAGAAGCTGAGACTGTCAAGTCATAAGAGGCTATTGTTTCCCGATCGATTAGCCTTAGGACAGACAGCTCTCCAGTGTTCGCGCTAATCCCAAAGGTATTGTCACTGTTACCAGACGTTATGGCGTAAGTCACCTGTCCGTTGGTACCTTCGTCGGGGTCAACAGCACGAAGCCTTAAAACAACAGAATTGAGAGCCGTGTTTTCGACTAAAGAAACCGGGTACAAATTCTGGGCAAATCGTGGTTTGTTGTCGTTCTCATCCTTAACTTTCACCGTCACCAAGGCAACTGAGGATTGACTAGGCGTCCCGTGGTCCTTTGCTGTCACATACAGCTGGTATGCTTGCTGTTGTTCTCGATCAAGGGTAGCGAGTGTTGTGATAAGACCTGTTGTTGGGTCTATTTTAAACTTGGTTTTATCTCCTGACGATATCTGGTATGTTATCTCGGCATTCTTGCCCAAGTCACGATCCGTGGCAAGCACTTTCACTACTGTTATTCCTGAAATGAATGAAATATTACTTAGTTTTTCATACCCACCAACTAATTCTGGAGTGAAAACATTAGGAAAATATTTAGGTTAGGTGGCGCCATCACGTTAAAAATCCTTCAAATTTTAAGCCTTTAAATTTGATCGAACTGTAAAACAACCTGTGGCCTGATTACTGGTTAAATTGGAATTTAGCGTTAGGTCTTGCGGAGGGAAGAAAACTGAAATATCCGGAGAAAATCTCTTGAATTAAGAGAGAAACATTGGCCACTAACCAATAGTGTGCATGTAGCACGAGTGATAGGGTAGCATGGGCTCCAGTGGCTGTTCTCGTCTCTCAAGGAACATGAAAGCAGAGGTGATGGAACTATCAAGAGTACTTTCTTTTGTTTTAATTAATTTAAAGAAAATCATTCCCTTGTCATCGCCTTACCTGCCAGTTGATTTTCCAATATCTCGACGGAATAAGAATTCTTCTCAAAAGTTGGTTTATTGTCGTTAACATCAAGAACTTGAATAGTCGCATTGTTACTAACAAACATTCCACCATTGTCTGTTGCCTTGACAACCAAGGTGTAATTAGCAACATTCTCTCGGTCTAGTCGCTTGGCAACGCTAATAACACCAGTCTGAGAACCAATGATGAACGCGCCCCCGATATTTCCTTTGATTATATCAAATGTAAGTTGGCTGCCATCGGAGTCGGTGGCATTCAGCTTAACAACCCTAGTTCCTATGGCAACATCTTCAGGAATGGTCGTTATTTGGCCTGTTGAGTCGAACGACGGGACGTTGTCGTTAACATTTATGATTGAGATGTTCACCTTAGCTGTGTCCTGTTTCGGTGGGTTCCCAGAATCGTTTGCAGTCACAGTCAGAAGGTAAGAGCTAGTCGTCTCGTAATCAAGTGCGGTGAAGGACTTCACGAATCCCGTGGAATCGATGGTAAAATTTTCGCTTCCCTTTCCAGACAGACTGAAAGTTAGTTTAGCGTTTGCCCCCTCATCACGGTCTACAGCTTTGACCTGTAATAAAAATAGAGAATAAAGTTAAGGAATTTTTTTGCATGAAAAAATAAAATACAAATAGGATTTAGTGCCACCAAATTTCCGGATTAGGATTCTATTGACGAGAGCGTCAAGATCCCATACTCTGAGTCTATAAGGCCAGCCATATCGGTGGTGTAAAGCCATTCCAAGATAGTTAAGAGACAAAGACATAGCGGCCATGTTGGTGGTATTTAACATTAAAAGCTGAGATTCTTTTTTGTTAAATTCCACTAATATGGCCGCGATGACGTAACGCACAAACAAATAATTGTCAAGTCAAAGGCTTTCTCTATGCGAAATTAGTATTAAGAATTAGGTCGCATGATGAGATGAGAAAATTTCAAATGGCATGCGCAACACGCATATACCACTGACCTGCAATACTGAAGACCCAATTGAAGCGTCTTCCCTGATCTGTCCATAAAATATTTCGCGTTCAAATGAAGGAGAATGGTCATTGACATCTTGGATTACTACTTGTATATTGGTGCTGGTTGACTGTGGTACTGGTTTTCCAGAATCTTTTGCTTGGACGCTCAATGTGTACTGTGCTGTCTGTTCTCTGTCAAGAGATTTCTGTACGGAGATGACACCAGAACTGGGATTTATGTTAAACCTAAAATGATATTTAAAGTAGTATGCTTTAGTAAGACAAGATAAGAATATTAGGCGTAGGTAGTATAGTAAGTAGAACAGGCAGGCAGGCAGGCAGGCAGGCAGGCAGGCAGGCAGGCAGGCAGGCAGGCAGGCAGGCAGGCATGGGAAGTGCTTCAATCTAGGCAAGACAAGAAAACATATACTCACTTTTGTTCACTGTTTCCTTGTAAGATACTGTAAGTAATCATCCCGTTGGGACCATCATCTGCATCTACTGCTGACACCCTACCTACACTCGTCCCGAAACTGGCATCCTCTTTTACTTCCATTCTGTAAGGAGCTCCAATGAACTTAGGTGGATTATCGTTCTCATCTTGCACAGTTACATACACAGTGACCGAGTCAGTGAAAGAAGGGCCAGAACGAAAGGTCTTTCCATCACTTACCGTCACTGTTAAACGGTAGCTTGCAGTACTCTCACGGTCAAGTGGGGCTGTCGTGGTAATTTCACCAGTGTCCTAAATCGAGGAAAAAAGTAAAGCAGGGTTTTAGGATTTATCTTTTCTGTGGGGGTACAACTAACCGCTTACTGACTGGTTGTTGTTGAATAAGTCTACTTTTAGGAGTGCCACTTGAACGAAACATTAAAGGAGTTTACTCACCGAATTAATAAGAAACGTTCCATTTCCCCCAGCAATTGTGTACACAAGTCGACCATTAGCACTCGAATCGGGATCTACAGCAGTAACATAACAAACAGTCGCACCTTTTACCATATTTTCTGCAATGCTACAGTTGTACATGTCTCGAGGGAACTTTGGAGGATTGTCGTTGACGTCATCCACAATCACCTTGACGACAATGGACGTAGACATCGGCGGTGAGCCGTGATCAGAAGCAGTCACCGTAAGGGAGTAACTAGACTTGGCTTCGTGATCTACCTTTTTTGATAACGTAATCTTTCCAGAAACGGGATCGATGTTGAAGACATCAGTACTTCCAGAATAAGAGATTCGTGCATTTTCACCAGAATCGCGATCTGTAGCAGTCACCTGCCCAACAAGGTATGCTACAAACTGGTCCTCAGACACGTGGAAGGTATATGGACCACTAAATACCGGCGTATTGTCATTGACATCAGTCACGTTGATCAAGACTTGACAAGTTGAGCTCAGTGGTGGAGTCCCTCCATCGCGGGCTTTGATGGTTAAGATGAATTCTTTGGTAGATTCACGATCCAGGGATGAGGACACCTTAATGGAACCTGAAAAGCAATAAAACTACTTTGAAGACACCATTTATTTCATGGGAATAGCCCACCTCCGAGATATGCTTCGCTTGTCACACACAAAGGTTTCAGTATGAGGCTAAATGCTAAATTAAATTAATTCTTACCGCCAGTCACGAATGACTGAGCATTTGGCTCGCAGCCTCATACTGAAACCTTTGTGCGTGACAAGCGAAGCATATCTCGGAAGTGGGCTATTTTAAACGCTAACGGCATTTAAAATATGGCGTTTAGTGCCATATTAGACCATGAAAATGTACACTGACATGAGTACACGCTGGGCCTTTTCAACGCGACAGCCATGTTGGCTGCAACAACCCCTGATGCAGTAATATGCACCCGTCAGTAACGCTTTGAACAAGTTTTAATATAGATAGGTAAATGAGAATTAAAGCATGGAAAAAAGGATACGATGGAGAAATAAAAATATCAAAGTAAAATACAAACGGATAAAGCTTCCATATTTGTTGTCAAAGTAAACCAAAATGGCGTCTATGACGTTACATACAAAATGCCAAAAAAAGTACTATTCAAAGTCCAAAGCATATCTAGATACGAGTGTCTGTACCTGTGCTACCATCGATGGTAAACTTGTTCCCAACATTTCCTCTCAAGATACTAAACACCACCCGACCAAGTGGTCCAGAGTCCTCGTCTGTCGCCGAAACATCTTGCACAGTGCTTCCTATGGCAGCGGCTTCAGAAACCTTAACGTTGTACCTGTCCTGACCAAATATGGGCTTGTTGTCATTGACGTCTTCAATGGTTATTTTAACTTGTGTTGTATCAGTTTTGATTGGATTTCCCTTATCACGTGCTTCTACTTTGAGGTCGTACCGGCTGCTGGTCTTGAATTTTGGAGATTTCTTTATCGTTATTAGCCCTGTAAAATAATAAATATTTCATTTTACGCACACAGGGCTTTAATAAATGATCCATATGTCATCACATGACATTCCCTTGAGAATTGTTCTTTTATGCCGAACATGTTAAAATATTTACACATGAAAGAATCAACTCCCAAGAGTGGCGTCACATGGTCTGAAATGTGCACGACAAACAACGAAGCTAAAAAGGTTTGACGTTACCTGAATTCAAGTCGATTGTGAATGTATTCTCAGTGTTGCCGTCTATTATGGCATATTCCACTTTGCCATTGGCACCTGAATCCCGATCTGTAGCAAGTACCTGGTAAAAAAAAACTTTTTAAAAATCTATTCTTTTAGAGAGAGAAAGAAAGTGGTGATGGTGGTGGTGGTGGATAATGTTTTTTTAGTTGAATTGTGATGCTGTATTAATGGACCCCTTGCAGCACGTTGGAATGCAACATAGCAATAGGTTTCCAATTCTCATGAGAATGAAATTCTTTTGTTTTGTGATCCAAATTGAGCTGCTTTGACGTCACATGCAAGGGATCTATAGTTAAGCTTGCAAAATAAAGCCTAGAGAATTGAAATTTTGCTCTAATAAATGTTTAGTCGCTTAGCATATAATGGCCGTCATCAAGAACAGATTTTATCCCTGTCCCATGGCTTTTTCATAGTTCTATATACTTCTACCATTCGACGCGATTCCATTCAATGGTTATTACCTTGACGACGCTTTTACCGACTAGCGAGTTCTCTTTTACTGTAGCTCGGTAAACTGATGATGCGAATATTGGAGAATTGTCATTAACGTCTACTACATTGATTTGCACATTGGTAGTAGACGATAACGAAGGCAAGCCTCGATCTGACACACCAATCACAAGGCGATACAAAGTCCTGTTGTCAAGGACAAAAAGAAAGAAAAATTTAATACAAAATTTAATTGCTTTTCGTTTCTTGAACTTTCTCTCTTATATTTTCCTCCCACCCTCCCTTCTTTCGTTTTCTTTTTTTTCTTCTTAGTTGAGAATTTTTTAAACACTATTTTTGCCATTGCAAATCAGTAGAAAAAAATCGTCTCTTCTTTCCTTAAAAACAACTTACTTTCTCAAATAGTTCCTTGTTGTCGTTGTTACATTCATAATAAATTTTTTTCGTAAGCGCGCGCGAATTTGTTTAATTAAATGCGCGCGCACATATGCCATGGTTTGATCGCGTTTGTCTTAGTCAATTGTAACGTTTTTCATTTCCCTGAGGATGGCCGAGTAGGCCGAAAGCACGGATCATATTTTTTAAATCTATGGTTGATTAAACAAATTATTATGAACTTACCTTCTTTCACAATCCAGAGTGTTGGCCAACTTCAAATTACCAGTTTGGGATTCAAGATCGAATGTGTTGCCCAAATTTCCACTCACGATATAATATCTGATGTCTGCATTGATACCTAAAAGATATAGAAAAATTGAACACGCGAATTCAGGATTGGGAAGCAAGTATGCACATTGCATGACAAAACTGTATACCTTGAAAAAATATGTCAAAGTAATATATTGAAGAAATAGAAAAAGCGCGCGCGTGCTGTGTGCTGTTATAAATCACGCGGGATAGGTAGAACACGAGAGAAGTGTTTAGAGAAGCACGACGCGTAGCGGAGTGCTTCTCGACACTTCTCGAGTGTTCTGCCAATCCCCAAGTGCTTTATAACTCCACACAACACAGTGAGCAAGTTTTTTTCTTTTATAAAATACAAGGGCGCGTTAGTGCCGTGTGCTCTCATAAAGCACGTGCTCCCAACCAATAAGAATGCGAGATTTATAGCAGTTATTTTATGATAGACATCAGACCTCTTTAGCTTGGGCATAATCTTTTCCCATAGTCATTCTCTCGAGAATAAGATTCTTTGTTCGAGTCGTATCAATATTCATGTGCCTTCTTATGCACAATCGATAAACAAAGAAATCATACTCTAGGGAATGACACGTGGTCTGAAATGGGGAACATTCGCCCAAGCTAAAAGGGATTATTACGCTAACCTATATCAAGATCTGTGGCGCTCAATGTGGCAATAGTTGCCCCTGTAGTGGTATTTTCTGATACGGAGAAGGAATAAGCGTTCTTGATGAAATTAGGTTTATTGTCGTTGACGTCCAGGATATTCACAGTGACTGACGTCTGTCCATGATGCTGAGGATTCCCGCCATCTACGACACGTATGGTTAACTGATATGATGACTTTGTCTCGCGGTCAAATGTTTGTGAGGTCTTGATGATGCCCGTGTTGGAGTCGATGGTAAAGAAGCTGGTATTTCCACCTTGTAAGCTGTAGGTAAGTTTACTGTTGTCACCTATGTCGGCGTCTGCAAGACGAAAAAGAGAGAAAAATATGAGGCTAGAAAATGGTCAAAAAGTGTAACACATGATTGGGACAGCCATATAAATTGAGAAAATATCAACAAAAAGCCAATATACGACAAAACAAACAGGCAAGCATACGTATGGAAGGATGGACAATGAACAGGCAGAGATCTGGATACTATTAGACTTATAGAAAATTGAGTGTAATAGAAATGAGCGAAACAAAATACTCAAGGAGTCGACTGACAAAGCAATTAAAAAATTTTTTTTTTTTTTTGCGTTGATCGAGTTACTGTGAGTTTAGATAAAAAGAATGGAACAGAAAGAATGAAAAACTGGGCATTAAAACAACGACAAGAAACCTGAAAAAATAGAAGAACAAAAATAAAAGAAAGATGGAAAAACGAAAACAAAAAAAACAAAAAAAAACAAAAAAAAGAATTAAAAAAATCAAAAAAAAGATTGTCATCACCAAAGGCGAAAAGCGATATGTCATTCCAAGATCCAAGAATAGCTGGAATGACTTGTGTTTCTGCTTCTTATTCTCGTCAAGAACATGGACCTAAGTGTTGAGACTGGTTCAATGTTCCTTGTATTCAACGAAACCATTTCCATGTCGGAATGACCTATCGCTTATCGCGGTCTTTGGCGATGACGTTTTTTTTAAATGGGTGTATACATATATTCGATAGTAATACTGTGTACAGCAAGACAAACTATTTACATCAACAAATAAAATACTCCATACAGTTGTCAATCTATCTTACCTATTGCTACCACCTGCATCACAGTACTGTCTCTCGCAGCATTTTCGTACACAGATGCTGTGTATCTTTTATAAGGAAATGTGGGATAATTATCGTTATAATCGGTTACTATAACACTGACAACAGTTTGGGTGGCCAGAACTGGGGTACCATCATCACTGACAGTCACAAGAACACTATAAACAGGCTTAACCTCACGATCCAATTTCTTTCCCAAAGTTATTCTTCCTGTTGTGTCTATCGCAAAAACGTTGTCCTGAGAGTCTAGCATCTTTAGTTTGTAAGTCAGTCTATCACCATCGGGATCGGAGGCATTAAGCGTGCCAATATAGGTGTTGACTTTTTTCGATTCATTGACTCGGAAAGAACAACGGGAACTCTTTGCGCAGGCATCATTAAGACTTGGCCTTTCATTTACACTTAAGATTCGAATCTCTAGGATTGTTTTAGCTTCGTTCTTTCCGTCTGAGGCTCTTATTTCTATACGATAGAGATTGTTCGTTTCAAAGTCTAATTGTTTTGTGGTCGTGACGACTCCATTAGTATCATCGATGGAGAAGGTGTTAGATGTATCATTGATTCTATAGGTCAACATATCATCCTTGTCATTGTCAGCCGCCGTTACCGTGGTAATAGATGTCCCAATCCTTGCATTCTCTTTCACGTCTGCTTGATACAGCTTTTTTGAAAATTGTGGAGAGTTGTCATTTGTGTCCTGGACATTGACAACCACGACTGTTCTTCCTTTGTGGCAAGCCTTGTTGATGTTTTGAGCCAAGACTGTAATCCTGTAAGTTGCAGTGGCTTCACGGTCTAGAGTGTCTGCTGTTATAAGACCTGTTTGGCTGTTGATGTGGAACTTTCCCTCGCTGTTTCCATCAGTGATTGAATATCTCAACCTAAAAATGATATTCGCATGTTAGGATTTTTGTCTTGAGGATAAGAACATATATTGTATTCATGTTTCTTCTTATGCGCAACTAGAACTGTTAAACAAAGATATGATGCTCTAGGGAATGACACGTAGTCTGAATAGACCCCTTGCAATCGCATTGATTTTCTAGAGGAATTGTTCTGGGTAACAAAACAATTGCTGGTTTTCACATGATGTCATCAAAACATCAAAATCTAAACTATAGATCGTATAAAGACATTTCTCAAGTATGTTTTAGAAGTCAGTGTTATAAGTCACAAGAAAAAATCTCATTTCGATGTTTAGTTCCCGAGTTATGAAGGTTGAGTTTGTGTCACGCAATACCGTCACGTCTATCTAAATAGCGATGAAAATATTAAAATAATTTACTTTAGTTGAAAGATTTTCCATTAGACACGTTTAAAATGTCTATTTAAAGTATGTGTAAGTGAAAAATAGCCAAACATGTTCCATATTCCATCATTTTAAGCCTTTGGAGTTTCGTCCGCCATGATGGTTTTCCACCTTGGGACACCAAGATGGCCGCTCCATACATTTAACCAAAAATTTCGTCATGTTTACTCGCCTATAGTTCCGCAACTAAATGCTTTACAGCCTTAAAATTTGGCCAGTATATGTAGTTTGGACCGCTTTACAAGAATATAAAACCTCTATTTCATTATAATGCCAATTTACGCTTTTGAAATTCATGATGACGTAGGTGAAAACCAAGAATAGGGGGGTAATTGCATTTGTATTTTCATGTTAACCTCGCATCCACTATATTTTGGAGAAGCCTCCATTGTATATAGGCATTTTCTTGTCTATTACGATTCGGGCACAAGCTGATTAAATTAACTAACTCTTACCTATATTTAGTAAAACTTGAAGCAACTGTTTTTACTTTTTGAGTTCCAGGAACTTCTTCATCTGGGTTGGCTACATAGCTGTCCTGGCTGAACAGGGTATCCCACATGGATAATTTAAACTTGTTGCTATTCATCTGACCTTGAACTGCTACGTAGATAATCTGCAATTAAGTGACAGTGAGGTAGCGTGTATCCGTTAAATTCGTTCGTTAAATATGCCATTTGCTTGATGGTGGCACTGAACAGCCAATTTCGCATTCTATTCTTTTTTGCCATGTGATAATAATAACCCATTTAATCGCAATATAGTGCGCAAACCGGAGGACCCATAGGAGCACAGGAGAGAACCAACAAAGTACTTTATTACCATATACCCTGTGTAGCCCTCTACTCCTTTCCCAATCTACCCACACCGGAGGGCCGTTTCACAGGTTAACTAACATACAACAACAAGTCCGGCAGGACTCGAACCCCTGGTTACTACAGGTGATTTCAAAACACAGGTGATTTCAAAACACACAAGAAGCTAGATAGGCATGTATTTGAAATGCATGTTGCATGATTTGAAGGGGTTTGGGTATTTTTGGTTGTACGAAAAGATAACGCGTAGAAACTGGTACGAGTGTAAAGGCTGTTAGTCACAATAACAACAGCAGTGCAAATTAATCACAAAATTAACCATTTTGAATCGCACTGTTTTTGAAGAACAAAAAAATTTGCACAAAACATAGCATTCAGATCACAGAAAAAGGAAGCAAAAGAAAAAAAAAAAAAAAAAAAAGGATGGGGAAATTTTGAACTCTTTGAAAACCCACCCGTTCAATTTATTCCAAATAAAACCACATGTTTTCCAATACAATTTAGCCTCCTCTCACTTCAATTACTACTATTAATGTCATGTAAATCAAATACTTACGGTAGTGCTGCTACGAGCAGAAGTAAAGTTAAGCCGGATTGATCTCGGTGATGTGTTCAATTCGTTCTTTTGAGAGTGAGGATCCATCGGTCCTGGGTTGGTGGTCGTCAGGGAAACGTACAAATGACTGATACCTGAAGAAAATGGATCAAAATCAGTCAGAAACGTAGTGTAATGGAAGGAGATAGATAACTAAACACCAGTGCGAGATCTTGAAACAAAACAATGTTGAATGGCATCGTAAATGGCATGGCCAGAAAAAAGAAACAAGCTTCCTCCCCTCCTCCCCATAAAATTCCTCTAGTCAAATGATCGGAATAGCAATAATGATGACAATGTGGAGATGATGTCTATGATAAAGATGCATGATGCTGCTGCTGTCACAGCTTCTGATGATGATCATGATGATATTGACTGAAGATGATGATGACGATGATGATATTAGCTGAAGATGATGATGATGATAATAATAATAATATAAATAATAATGGGATTAACAGTGGATTCATCAGAGTGAAGTTTTCGCCAATATGTGAAGAAGGTGATGGTACGTTATGATGATGCTTATGATGATGATGACGATGATGTTCTTGTCACTCTCCCGTCAAAATTTAGTACGTTTAAGAACGTGCAAAAACTCAGGTCTTCTGGACCAAATTACAGACATTTCAAAAATATCGATACTGAAATATCAGTTCAGCTTTAAACCGCAAATAGCATTTCCTTAACAGCAATGACAAACACTTTACCTTCAATGTCTTTAACCTCGACGGAAATCCCGCCAGTCACCGACTCGAACTTGGTTTTGAAGTACAAAAAGGATCCGCCTTCGACGCTTGATGTGGTATCATCACAAGATGAAACTGTGGCCCCCTCTGAGAAAAAACACGATCAGGTGAGTTGATTGGTTAATCACTGAGCTCGTGCGGCAAACATGCTCGTGCGGCAGACATCAAATCGTATGGACAGTTGCCAGGTTGGTTGAATCGAAAGACATGTTTTGAAAAAAAATTTCAACCAACGTGACACTCACATGCATCTTCAGTGTGAGTTTATTGGCTTATGCTTATATACACCAGGTATCCCAGGTTCAGGGAGAGAGCAACATCACGTTGTTTAAGGGGAAAATGAAACATCCTTAGTACGTACTATGTCACATTTAGCTGGACGTTATTTTCAGTGTGTTTTAACGTAGTTGCAAGCGTGGTCGTCAATCCATGGAGATACCATTGTGATGTAACCGGTTGTAGCTCACACGCACTGATAACCACTCTTTGATAGTTAAAGGAAATACAATGAAACTACCTTACACAACAATGTAAACTTTGTCGCGTTTAGAGCCGGAAGCACTGATAAAACTTTATTGTGTAACGTTAAATTATACTAAAGTTCTTAAAGGAAATAACGATGCAGCTATGCTGAAATAAGATCCAATGCTCCCCCACCCCCGACCCCCAAATAAGTGCATCATTCTCTTATTCTGTCATAGTGAAACATCTTCACTGAACCAAGGGATGAGGTTGACATCCCGAAACGTCTGGTTCAAGAAATAAAATCTAACAGGTGCCTTTTCTTTTCTTTTTCTATTCTTCCATTTTCTTCACCCTTTTTCCCTAATTTCCTAGGTTTGTTAAAGTTTCTTACCGTCACAAGACACAGAACTCAGCTTATCCACCCAGCTTGACAGATCATTAAAGTTGTCCAACGTGAAGACATGGGTGCTATCAGGATCGGTGGCAATGTCATTCAGCTCTCTTTCATTGTAATTCCCAACACCAATACAAAACAGATTCACTCCTTGGTTCTTGAGTGCATTGGCTGCCGTTTTCACTCCCCAGCCATTGGAGTAGCCATCAGTCAGTAACACTGCGACCTTGGGAATCCCTTTATCAGGCCTCATTCCATCTACAGTGTTGAAGATATCTGTTCTAGTCATTTCCAAGGCATCTCCAGTGTACGTCCATCCAGCTCGGTATTCAATTTCGCCGACTGCATTCTTGAGGGAGGTTTTGGAGTAGTGAGCCTTAAGGTTAAATTCGACTACTGGCCAGGATGAGTAGGTGACGACGGCCACGTGGGTGCCAGTAGTACCAATGTTGAAGAAGTCGATGATATTTTTAACGAATGTTTTGATCTTTCCAAAGTTGTAGCTTCCCACACTGCCTGATGTGTCGAGGATGAAGGCAAGGTCTATTGATGTCTGGCAAACTGAAAAAAAGATGGAATAGTTGGTTAAGAAGGGCATTTAGTTTTGAGTCTTTGTTATTTGTTAATTTACATCGTATATAATGGAAGTCGTTGTCCAATCTCTACATATGATGTTTATGCTCATGCTCTAAATCAGTGTAAATTAGGCGTTAATGCATGACAAAGATTAAGAAAAAACAGCAAGAGATGAAATGATCATCTCAAGTACACGCGCGCCTCACCTATGGGTTCTCGGGGAACCGAGAGTAAAAAACTTGAATCAAGGGAGATACCTCCTTCCTTCACAATTCCGATTCAATCTCTGTATGAGTAAGCCGTGCCCTGACTTTGATCAGATCAGAGATTGTAATTTCAGAGTATCGATAAAATTTGAGTTTTTTTTAAAAAGTTTTATGCAACCTAAAAGTAGACTCGGTTATCTATTTATGGGCTCATAACATTAAATTTCTTTTCTGACACCTGTCGGAAGAGAGCTGAAAAGAGTCTGTGTTTAACTAGCTTATCTCCATTCTCGCGTGTTGCAAATGAGAAGCACTAATTCTCAGTTCCTCGTTGCTTTGCCACCAAGCAACCCAACTATCACCACCCTACTCACCATCTCTTATCACACTCGCATGAACGTAATTGTTTCGGGTGTACTGAATCCAGTCAAATCCCGCCTGCTCGGCCAGACCTGCTAGTTCTCCAAGTTTTCCTACGTCGTTGTCATCGACTACCAGCCGTACAGCTCGGCCTAAAAGGGATAAGATCGTACTGAAAATCAGGCTAAACAATTGATGGGTTGCAAGCATTCCCAAGAAATCTAAACGACAAAAACATGGCGGCCATTGTGGTACCATTAACAATGGATGCTAATGAGAAATCTTTTGTTAAACGGTACCAACATGGCCGCGATGACGTTATGTGCAAACGAAGAATATAGTCAACATTAACATTACTAATTATATTGAGTATTTTCGGTCAGGACCAAATTCGTACCAGAGCCTGCGTTTCTTCTGGGTGCGGCGAAGTACGAGGGCTCAGGCATAATCAATTATTGGCGCATGCGCAATTTTCGGGAAGCGAAATCTAACCAATGAAAGTAATCAAAGTGAAAATTAAATCTAAGTAAATATCAAAGTAAAAAATCAAAGTAAAAATTAAAAATCGGGGAAAAAAATTTTAATTTTTGGCAGGCCGTATTTGAACGCATGCGCTCTTATACCGAAAGTCCAAGAAATCCTGGTCTCAAAAAATGGATTACGCCGCAGGCCAGAAGAAACGCAGGCTCTGGGTACGAGATTAGTCAGGACGGAGGGCAGAAAAATACCTCTGCAAGCAGGGATCGACATTAATAGATGTCATCACTATAGCATAATAACAATAATCATTGCGCGACTCGTGTCTTCACATGAGATCACGAGGAAAAACGTAACAGATTCTGTCTCTGTGGGACTTCAACTTCAAACACATTTTCTCATTGTCCTCGATCAGACATCGTTAGGATAAATGGTTCAATGAATACTATTTAGTACCCGTTCACTCATATTGGCGAAAACTTCAATATACTCGCATTGTGACGTCTTGTTTCAATGCCTGCGTACCAGGGGGCAAGACATTTATATCTTTCACCTATGTAAGAGAAATAGAGGTTTTGCACTATCATGTGACGGCAGCCATGCTAGATGGCAGGAACAATACAATCGTCTTGATGAAAAAGAATTCAATAAGCCTGAAGCGAGATGACCTTGTACCCCCGACTCTATACCATAATAGTTTTTAAAATTCTTCCATATCAAAATTTTTGATTTCTTAGAGAATACAGGAACAATAGTCATAATTAAAGAACAAAAGCAGTGTGAAAAGGATTATGGTCTAGAGACGGGGGTAAAACGTCATCTCGCTTCAGGCATATTCCAGAGAGTAAAGCTACTAAATTTGGGATTTTATTGTTCTGCCATCTAACCACGGGCAGTCCAAGCTGTATTATGGGCACCGGCACGTGATGGTGCAAAGCCTCTATATAATGATATGGTCTAACAGGAGGTAGCCGCGAAGGGGATGGGGAATAGTAGCATCGTTTAAACTGAAGGGTCGCCTAGTTATCAGTCGCCTATCTGAAAGGTTAAGAGAAAGGAGTGAATCGAATAAACTCAGTAAGGATGAAATGCGAAGGCAATCAGTGGTCTTTCAGCCTAGGGGAATCGATCGGGATGGTCACTTTGGTGTTGGCATGTCGAAAGAGAATATGGCTATGATCCAATTTTGCGCCTATCGTTAGATGAATCAGCTAAAGCCAACAATGAATCGAAAGGATACAGACAAGATCACGCCAAACAACACGAAAGTCCAAACGCTTAAAACTCCAAAGTTGTGAAATATCTGGTGTTAAAGTCCAAAAATGATTTAATGAGATTGATTCACATTTTTGTGTCAATCGACGCTTGGTATAATCTCGTTAGTAAGACAAATACAATCCAGTCAATCCAGATCTAATATGATTAATAGTCGATTATGGTCACAGAAATCCAATTAACACGAATTGTTCGAACTAAAATGTTTACTTTCCAATCGAAGGGCTTAGAATGTTCCTTACATATAATATGTGCTCAAACAGGTGATGTTGACTTGATCGCCCGTGCTTTCAGATGTTTTTTTCGTCGGCTTATTGAGCAACAAGATCAACAGAAATCGTCATGTGTATTCTACGTTCTATTTTAAGACTGTTAGTTTACTAAACATTACGTATCCTTCTTGCTAGATCAAAACCACGAATTTTTTTCGTAATTCATTAAAAACTCTTTAGAAACTTTGGAAACTTAGAAAATGAAACCTCAATCATACGAAACCAAGCAAACAATGCAAGACCTTCATCTAAGGTCTTTAAGAAGCTCTCGTGACTTATGGATGTTGTGGTTTAAAACCCAAACCGAAATTAAATAAAGCTTCTAGCTAAACAAAAATTATTTCTACCTCATCTTTTCAGCAACTGAAGCGCTGAGTCAAAATATATCAAAAACAAGATAAATAGATTTTTTCAAAGAGGTCATATCAGGACGAAAATTACCGACCCCACTGGGGTGAGGAAAGAAGAAGCTGATATAGTTATATAATTTTGAAGAGATTAACTATGTCATCATCGTCATCATTAATTTTATTTGGCACATTATGTTGTCAATGATTTTATTTCCATCGAAAGTTAAACTGCTTCAAGCTAAGAAAAATTCTAAAAAAAGATTTTTTGATAAAATCAGGGAGCTTGAATTTTTTAAATAAACTCTTTTCAGCGCTGTAATTACAATTTTTTTAATTTGCAATGTTAAAAATACATCATATTATAAAATTTAAAAAATATTTCAATTTTTTGGAGGACAATACCTTCATAATGGAGGGAGATAGTTCCAGGAACAACTGTGTCTGTCCATGCCTTGAGTACCTTCACCTTTCTTCCACCCCAGCGAGCCGATACACGAGTAGCAAGAACATCTAGCTTGCTCTTAGCTCTGGCAGTCATTCGTCTCGAGTCATCGTTCAGAAACACAATTTCAGAGTTTGTGTTTCGAACTAAAATTTTACGGAACCTGGCAGAGTTCCTTTGAATTACATCCCTTATGTTACCACAGGTTGAAATTTCGTCTTTCCCAGCTGGATGAATTTCTCCCCGGTTGAAAATCCTTGCAGCGTAAAGAGTCTTGATAGAAGTAACTAGAATCAATAAGCGGATAAAAGGCGCTGAAGGCGTCATGTCTGAGGCGAGAAGAAGTATCTGCAAGAATATGGGAAGCAATGGTTATGACTTTAAAATAAGAGCAATTTCGTAATGTTGATTGTGCATGCCGAGTTCGAGCAGTAAGAATGATGACAAGCAATACATTCAAGATCGATGTCGTGCCAGCTCCTCAGAGGTGAAGACGTATGACATCCGATATGCCAAACAAACCCCGGGCCAAGATTTTTTTAAACTTTCGGAAGACCAAAAAGTATCAGATGAATCCACCATTCCCCAACACATCTAAAATAAAACTATTTCTAAAAAATAAAAGATTGGTATTTCTAGACCAAGAGCGAAAAATCTTAAAAGCGTAAAATTTTGTTGAAGGGATTGGCCACAGCACGTTTATGATTGCATTGCGCAAAATAAAATAAAATAAATAAACTGGCGCTACAAATAAGTGTTCTACAATACGAGAATCAATAGCGCTATTTGCGCTTAGAATTAACAAGTGTATGGCTAGCAGTTCTGCTCTGTTTCACGTACCTGTTGTGGCTTCGGCCGTTGCCAGAGCTTGTTTAATCCTGATATTCCTGGTCGTGCGATTTTAAATGTGTTCAAAATATTGGAGGCGTGTCTTGTGTTATGCAGTGAGTTCAAAGAACAACCGATATTGACCCTAAAATGATGTCACATCCGGTGCTTGTGTATGCCATAAAAGGAAAAGGGGACATTATTGTCTTGGAGTGCAGACCGTGTGACCGACTCGTTTAGTGACAAGAAGAGATAACTAGCTAAAAAGCAGTGACATCTAAGTATTACTTTCATGTCCTAATATGCTAATAAAAACCTAAGAGTTATTTATGGGTGATGATTAGAAGATAACAAGTGGTGTTTGGGTTTTGAAAAGTGAATAATTGACCCTAGCAGGTGTAATAATAATTGACTAACAATAGTTTGTTGTATGGATTGACAGTTTTGTACTCTGCTGTGTTTCCAAAAGTGCAGCACACTGGATCTACTATACTGCACCAGTGTTTTCTAATCTTTAGTGACTTCTTCATAAGAAACTGCTTTATTTGTCAGGCTAAAGTGGTACTTATACTGATATAAAGTGTTTATATCAATTGATCGAAATTTCAGTCTTGAGGAGTCTTAATCCGCAGTTTATTTTATGTAACTGAAGTTTCGAAATTTGGAGAAGCCGAGAATGACAAAAGTACGTGTCAAATGCCTTGCTTTGCTAAGTTCTCGAGCTTAGGAACACGGTGCACGGGCTTCAGAGTTGGAGGTCCACGGTTCGATACTCAGGATTTCCACGTCTGTTTTTACTCTCTCTAATCTGTGCACTTCCAGCTTCGAAAGAAAAAAAATCCCAGAGCACTGATGGAGAGAGGAGGTAAAGTGCGCACCGTCGGCTTCCATTGATTGCAGTTGAATTTCAACCGAAGGAAACATAGCACTTACGCGCGTGTTTACGATCTTTCGGCTTACTAAGGCTGATGTTGTGAAGTGAAGGTGTTGCATCGGAACCGTGTAAGGGAAGGGTGTATTTCACAACTTCAGTATCAAAGTTTTTTTTCAACTTTAATTGCTTAAGCAGACTTGAACGTAATTGGTAAATACTTATAATTTAAAAATGGCGCAGTACTTGTCAACACATTCTTGAAATAAAGATTGACAACACTTGTCCTATGATCACTGCATCATTACGAATAGTTTTATCAAGACATATAACTCAGTGTTTGAAAATTCGTAACAGCTTCGCAACAGTCTCGTTCTAGCAGGTTTTTCCCTCTCACAAGAACCGAAGATGCATTTGGACGTAAATGTTACATTAAAAGGAAACCCTGTTGGAGAATGTAACCCACAGTGTTCTTCCTGGTTGACCTTATATCGTGTGTGCTTTCTAGATGTGATAGTCAATTTTCATTTTCGTATGGTATCTGTAGTCGTCAACTGAAGGAACTTCCGCATTCTCAACGCCTAAGAACACTTCGAAATCAATTATAATTGGGTAATTAGGTATGAAAACAGGTAAAAATCAATTGCGTCAAAAATAGTAAGTTACTTATCAGTTGGGACTTGACTAAACGAGGAAGTGTACTAAAGGCCCCGTAACTAAAGAGGCGCTATTAGGGATCTTAGGGATCCGGGATACCTGAGGAAAAAAAAAAATAGGGATACGGGATACTGAAGGGAAAAGCTATGGGGATACGGGCCACTCGAAACAACCGTATCCGAAAATGACGTCATCAACATTGTGTAAACTTTGGGGATACAAAGCCTCGTAATAGTCCCCTTAACAGTTCCCAGCGCCATCTTGAAAGGTAGCCGTCTTTGCATCGAAGCGAGACGAATGGTGAGCTTGCAATGATAGAGACCTTCTTTTCACACCTTGGACAATTATTCACATGTCTCTATCATTGCAAGCTCACCGTTCGTCTCGCTTCGATGCAAAGGCACGGCAACCTTTCAAGATGGCGCAGGGAACAGTGAAGGAGACTGTTATGGGGATACGGAATATTTACAGTAAACATTAAAGGGATTTGGGAAATCAATAACCTCTCTAATTGGCCTCACTAAAAAAACATGTGGCTGAACCACGGTAAACTGTGGCAACAAAAGGGGAAGACCAACTTGTGTCTAATCAAAAGATTAGTAACGATAGAAAAGGGGAAAAGATGTTCTGGCCTCTATTTTATTAAGCTTTATAGCTGTTGTATCACAGCGAGAGACAATCACAACAGAGCTAGGTTCAAACTAGGTAAAGCGCATGCTTCATGGCCTGAATTGGAGTAAGAAGTTGATTTTTGTGGAGGGAGGAAAACCGTAGAACCCGGAGAAAAACCTCGAAGTACAGGAGAAAACCAACAAACAACAACATACCGAGACCGGTAGGACTCGAATACAGGTCGCATTGTTGAGAGGCGGTGTGTTAGCAGTGCACGCCACCCGTGCTTCCCTAATGATAATTTTGAAATAATGTTGTGGTTGAGTCGGTTGGTTAATACGTGTAAGTCTCAGTTTATGTTCTGGCGGTTTGACACTAAGAACGTAGATAGCGCGTCAATTGTGGTTACATTGCGTTGGAAGCTACGCATTGGGGATTTACCTCAGTCTCAGTGCTAAACTGAGACCACCAACGCACTGGTCTAGCTTGGTACAAATGAAACCTTTTTCTGGTTCTTTAATAATAATATTAATAAGGATGATGATGATGATGATGATGATGTTGATGATGACGATGAAGGTGGTGATGTTGGAGATGAAAGCGATGATTATGATAATGATATAGAGATTATCTTGTTTGTATCGAACTTAGTAAACCAAAATTCAACTCGATCGGTTGTCGGAATCGTAAAACTGCAAGTTGCACCTCAATTCAAAGGCGAGCCGGAAACAGGATATTCAATATGTAACTAGCCGCATGGCGACACACGCTTGCTCGGCTAATTCCGGCGGTCAGATTGCCATTGTCCCATTAGCAAGAGAACATAGAAGTGTGGCAAAAAATGTTGACAGTTAAAAAAGGCCCTGTTTGCTTTACATGGAACTGAAATATCATTCGGCAATTGAAAATGAAATTAAGAAAAACAAGGATTTCACTTCTAGTATAGTTTCTGCGGGAAGGCTACCCGAAGTTTCCCAGAGTGCAATATTCGTACTGTCAAATGATGGTTAAAGATCTCAAACAAAATACCAGATACTCAAAATTTTGTAATTTATTTATATGATTTACAATCAAAATATTCGTTTATACAGGAGTATGGAACTGATAAGTATAGAGTTTGCAAACGTTTTTATTTAATATCTACAAGATTCTTACTTTCTGACAATATTATAAAAAAATCTATCTAAAATCTAAAGTACTAAAATAAACAAAATCATTGCTTTGGCTTAAATAACTCTATCAAAATCACACGCGGAATCATACGTTTTGCTGTCACCACAAAGTAGATTTTGGTGTACGTCCATCAAAGTGTTTCCATGACAACCGTTAGGCACGCCCTTTTTTTTTGCGTTTCCCGAGAAAGTCATGGAAACACTTTGATTGACGTCCACTGAAGTCTACTTTGTCGCGAAAAAAAAAGTCATCAAAGGTTTATTTATAATGGCGACAACTTTAGATCATATTCTACAGAAAATCTAACTTTTTCAAAGTCAGTATCCATGTAATTGCTATAGGGATAACCTTTGTGAAGCAAGCATTCCCTGATACTATTGATAAACTGGACAACTCTCCCTTCCAATCTACATAATAGCCAGTACATATAGAAGCTATACACCCCTTGCATGTGACGTCAAAGCAGCTCCAGATCTGGGGGACAAAAGAAAAGAATTCTAATCTCATGAGAATTGGAGCCTATTTTTTTGTCCCTCAGATCGAGCTGCAATCCAAAGTGCTGCAAGGGGTCTGTTGTTAACAATATTTCCAAAGCATATTCACATTTCATGATTGCGACTAATGTAGTGTATTAGCCAGTGTGTATGAGGAAGAGTGGGTCGATTTGGCATTGCATTGCATTCTGGGACTGTTTAAGGGGACATATTTCCAAGAAGGCATCTATTTCAATTGTCGTCCCCTCAAACAGTCCCACAATACACTGCGAGGCCAACTCGACCCAGTTTACCCCTCAACCAAGGAATGACTAACATTCCATGGATGTATGGATTTGTTGCTATATGGATATTCAAAGTCCTTATACCGGACAGATAGATACCATAAACTGACATTGTTATAGAAGACTGGTATAATACAGTCAATAATCCGTAGAACGACACTTACTCGGTAAATAATAAATTTTATGAAAATAATATAACATAATTCAGTTGGATATGAGAAGCGTAGAAAACGTAATTTTGTATAGCAAGCAAATGTAAAAGTGTAAGGCCATTTTGGCTATTTCTTTTTCCTTTCTGTCACTTCCTTTCCATTTTTCATATTTTACCAAAGTCACAGCATTCAATAGCCGGTCTACGTACGCGTAGGTAATGCGTAAAGGAAGCGAAAAGAGGCAACTTATTCCATTGTTTTGATCATTTCTCATTCTCTTTTTCTATCTTCCACTTTTCCTTTACTTTTCTTGGAATAATATCGAAAAGATCCCTTCATCAGGAAAATGAATGTCAAGCAATATATTAAGCTAATCAGCTCAAAAATCAAAAGACAAAAAAAGTAACTTAGTTTATAAAAAATATATACAATTCAGTACTGACAAAATATACTTCTAACAATGAAAAACCTATATTGAACTATGACAAAAAAGGCCAAGTTTTATAAAATTAGGTGGCCCTTTTAAGAAAATACTATCTGCCAGCCATATAAACCTTTGAGTTTGTTTTGCAAGTTTTTGTCGTTATTGAATTTTTTTGATACACTAGTTTCTGCACGTGTATGTCAGCCATGACCCCATTGCCTCCTTGACTGGACTAGGTCAAATTAGTTGGAGGAGGGTTTGGGGACAAGGTGTATGCATTCTAACCAGTCTTTGTACAAATTTCATAGTTGTTCCACTAAAATATCAATGACACGAAAATCATTTCATTTCTTTTCCTTGAAACCCTGTTTCCTATTTTACAAACCATTCAATCGATTCACCTCGTGGGTACGCCTAGAAATTCTAAGAGCCAACTTGACTTTTGTCGTCTACGTTTGGCAAGATTTTCGGCGTTGCCTTGTCTCTTCTTTTTTCGTTGATTTCATCCCCAAACTGGTAGATGAGCTTTTGTCCTATGACATGTCTGATTATTCCTCGCTCATAGTAATAACGAATAGCACGGCTCATCTTCTCGTAGGTCATGTCATGGCGGTTCTTCCTTTGACCCCAGAGTTTGGCCACTGCTTTTGAATCTACAAGGCGAAACACGCCTTCTTCACGTGATACCCACGTGATGTACTTTGGGCTGTATGCCTTGTTGTCAACAATCTCTTCCAGAAATTCCCACAAGTGAATGGTTTTCTTGACTAAAACAATAGAAGATTAGACGTTCAGCGGGATAATATTAATCTAGGAATTGTATCGCTTACTTAGGTCTTTTCCTTTCATTTTTTATCTATTGTAGCCTTCCTTTCAGATTGTGACAGCTTTTCTCTTTGCTTTTAGATTCTTTTCCCAGCCTTTCCCATTCATCGGCGTTGCGGCTATTTCTTTTAGAATTTTATCCATCCATCAAAAATGATTCATTTTCCTAGTGAATAATTTGAGTTACGATGTATTGAAAAAGTGGCAACCACATGCACGATGGCGTCATTTTATCACAATTACCAAATCATTTCCTAAATTTTCTTTCAAACTTCAAACAATAGTAAGAAAATCGGTGCAAGTTTATTGAGAAAATAATGTGCGCAAGGGATTCTGGTAGTTGTACAATGCTTTCGTGCAAAGGTACGTATTCACTAAACACGCTAATCAAGATCTAAATGTTGTGGGTTGAAATCAGTAATGCTTGATGAAGCGACACTACGCCAAAAACTACAATGGGCGCCACTTTTCCTGCCTTTATAAGTGGCATCAGTTGTCTAAGAACTGTCTAATATTCATCCGTTTGATACTTTCGTTTTGTACTCTAGAATTCTTTGAGTCATTCTCTTACCTCTTGGTTTGTGGACCTTTTTATTTGGTTTTGACTCGAAGTTCTGCGCACCGTAAGTCGAGGAACAGTTACGGGACGGACGCCCTGCAAAAAAATAGTACATCAATGAAAATTTGAAAAATGAACTTACAATCAAAGGTACTAATACATCACTAAAAACGCATGTGTTCAAAGATGCCAAAACATTACAACCAAATCTGGAATTATTGAGTCTGTCCACCAGATGTCGGGATAAATGGCTAAGCGCCCCTTTATATTAAGTATCCAGCCCAAACGTTCCTTAACAAATTTTTAACATTATTAAGTTGAAGCTTAAAGCTTACTGATAGGTTATACAGTATAGAAACCTCCACTTCGCGGCGAACTTATCCGCAGATCTCTAAAAATGGTTTTTGAGTTGTGTATTTTTCAACGAAAATTTCTTCCATAATGCGACCAACCCGCCCCAGTGACAAAGAGGTCGCTTAATAAAAGTCCCATCTTCACTCAACGTGGCTGCCAGTGCAGTGTCTTAGCCACTGTGAGGTAAGCGAGGCAATTGCCTCGGTAAAATGTCACAAAAGTCCCTCAAAACGCTGGAAATTGCATTTCCGAGGGTCTGAATTTTTTTTCGGGAAGGATGCCTCCGAACCCCCTAGTTGCTCGATTGCCTCGGTAAACATATCAGTCTGAAACGGCCCTGAAGTGAAACAACACATCAAGTATCTATACAATGTCTCACCTCTTCTGCTTTCACAAGTTTCACTTTCGGGTGAAAGAGGTTCTTGCTTTATTTTGATGTCAGTATTGACTTTGTCAACGTCTGTCTTATTTTCATGTCTAGTTTCAGGCATTTTTGCTTGACTGTAGTTGAATTTGGTATTCGTTAAGGTGTTGGTGGCAACGCAAGAGAAAGTTGTACTGATGTAGTTGTTCTGTGAAGATTCGTAGGGCGGTGGTGGAGGGCCTAGAAAGAATTAAGGCAACAAATAAGTCATGATCGTTGTTATCCTGAGGATTTCGAATCTGGAGGAAAGTGCCTGTCGTGGTTTGTAGTAGAAGCACTAGCTGGCAGGCATAAGAAAACGAGAAATTGAGCCAGCCAAGCACTAATTAGCTAGCATTCTAGAAACGTGCATGAGAAGACACGTAAGAGATCAGGCAAGCATTTACACGTAAGCAGTCAAGCGAGAAAGCAAATGATTAAAATAAATTAAAAAGGTATTCAAAGAAATTAAAAAAGAAAAAAGAATTAACCAACGAAGTAAATTATCAAGAAAGAAATATAGATAGCGAAATAAATGAGTACTGAAGAAGCAAACATGAAAGTGGTTATCCAAAGATCTATAGGTAAGAGAAATAAGCAAACGGTTATAAAGACAAATAGGCAAGGGAGGAGAAGGATAAGAAGGACAAGAAAGACAAAGAAGAGAAGGAGAAAGTGGAATGAGGGAAAGAGGAGATGGAGAAGGTGAAGGAGAAGGAGAAGGAGAAAGAGGAGGAGGAGTTAAAGGAGAAAGAGAATAGAAAGAGAAGGAGAGAGAGAAAAAGGGGAGGAGAAAGAGATTAAGGAAAAAGAGAAGAAGAAAATAAGGAGAAAGAGAAGAAAGGAGAATAGAAAGAGAAAGAGAAAGAGAAAGAGAAAGAGAAAGAGAAAGAGAAAGAGAAAAAGATGATGATGTTCGATGTCCATGTAGACAATACAGTTAACAAGAAACATGAAAACACGTAAGAAGTGTAAACAATTATAATCTATTAATTTATTGGCCACTACTTACGATTTTCTAAAAGCATATCCATGACAGCATCAGTCAAAGAACTGTCGTCACTAATATTATCATCACTTGCACCAATAACATCTCTATCGGAGTCACAAGAAGACATGTCATCAGAGCAATGCCCATTCTGGGGACTTGGTTCACACAATTGATCCATGGACAACAAGAAAGATAGATCTGGATTAAAATCCATAAGGTCTTCAACGTCTGGATACGGTCCAGTGACAATTCCTAGTTCTGGGTTGACATAGGCTGGGTGGTATGGAAGGTCACGGCTTGGATGGGAAAATGTTGGGTCCGCACACGATGTCATCATTGGGCTTAAATCCTGTCGAAGAAAAATTATTAGTTATTACAACTGTTTACATTGAAACGCGCTGATCGAGACAAGAGAAGCGACAGGGAAATCACGAAACACACCGATGTCAATCAAAAAAAATTGTGCGTTACCTTTGTATACTTTGACTGACAGCAGTGTATTGCCCTTTCTCTGTCATAGTCTCGATCAGCGTGGCATAGCAATGAAAACAGTAGCACACATTTAATAAGAAGGTTGGCCGATGCAATCATTCGATATAGAAGTAGAATGAGTAGAAACTAGAAGCTTGATAAAAAGGTCTTTATTTGGGCATATGATTTAGTATTGAGTTGTGCCTTATCTGGAAAAGCATGCAAGACTTAATCCTAATATGTCCATGAATATATATCCATGAATATGTATTTCATTAATCAATTAATTAATCAATAAATTATATCAATGACAATGAACTAACATATTTCAATTAATAAATCTATGAAACAGTGATTGAAAAAGTATAAAATATATCTTGTTCAATTAGTTTATAATTATATTTATTTATCAAAAAAAAAAATGTCAACGTTAACTTATACTTTGTAGATCATAATCAAGTGACCCCCATAAACTACTGTACAATCTTTTTATGCAGAAAATATATTCATATTTTGTAAAGTCCAATTTTTCTTAATTTCTATAATTTTACATTGAACATATTAATTATACAAAAAGGTCACTCGATTTGAAAATCTAGTTTTATTATTTTTGCTGATTTAGAAAAGAATTAGACAGGAATGTCAATATTGTAAATAATTAGTCAAAGATCATTGAATTAATGATATATTGTCTAGGTTTTTGATAGGTAGATTATATAGCCGAGTGATTTAAAGTTATTTATGTTGTGTCAGCAAGAGGTTTGAAATGCCAACAATAGATATTTACACCCAAAAAGTAAACCACAAAATTCCTTGTCAACAGGAATCTTTCTAAATAGGAACGAAAAATTAAATAATATCGATACTAATAACAAAATCAAATACAATACTATTTTTCTTTCATTATTTAGATAAGAGGTACCTCTATGTCATAGCAAAGACTAAGTTAACGTTTCGTTTAACTGAAGGTATCGAAAACGGATGCAAAATGCAAATTAATGAAAACACCTCATACGAAAAAAACTCAAATAAATGGTAGACAATTATAAACAAGAATTCAAGTCACTGACATTTCTGCTAATACATGCATAATACGAAACGAGGAAAAAAGAACAGATACGATCTTATTTAATCCTTGCGACGTTTTTATTGCATTTTTAAATCTGGCTAATATTTTTAAACCACTTGACTGGTAGCATGACTGCCAGGTTTAAAACTTCCAATACGAAAGAAATAGGAAAGCTTTAGGATATTAATTTAGAGGTCACTTATAAGAGATATTTGTTTCAGACAATGCATAGAATTGTTTTGCAAGTATTGTGACATTTTACCACAAAATATTATGCACAGGTATGATAAAAGCTAGTGAAGATGTTCTATCTGCAACGAGTCAGGAATTTGGCGTAAAAAAGGTCGAAAATAAAGATCACTTTCGCCAAATAAGAGAAGCGAAAGTCAGTCATGCTATCTATGTGAAGCAGGCATGAAAAGTCAAACAAAAGTTGACATTAGAGATAAAAATCGTCTAAGTATTTGGAACTTGATTTGTTTTTAGTGGAATATTTCACTAAACGGAGTTTACTCACTTGCTGAGGTTAAGAAGCGATGAAACTTTGCGATATCGCGCGAAATTTAACATGTCGAGTTGAAGCATGTATAAAAGCCAGAAGAGCATTGAGTGTTAAAAAATCATTACAACAAAATACTTATACTTACAGACAGTAGCAACAAGCTTTTGTGGATGTATTAATGCAGTAGCTAACCATTAACGAATAAAACTATTCACTAAAATGTTGATTTGGTGTAAACAACCTTAGCTTGGTGGCAGTGAAGAACTTTGTTCAAAAATGACCTCTCACAGTTTCCAGAAAAAGATGAATATGCAACTGGCAATTTCCAAAAGATGAATTGATGCACTGCTTAATCTTGGCCTTCAATTATTTTTGGGAAAGGATAGCAAATTTAACATAGAAATTAGAAGGCGATTTGAGAAAATCTTAAAGAAAAGCGAATGCAAGACCACGTCGCGCTAACACGAAAAGCGAAACAAGACAGAATGCAGCATACTGAAAGCTCGAAACTGCGACCGCAAATTTACGCAAAGCGGATACCCTCCCTGCAATTGTGAATGGGTGCAGTTCTCTATTAATCAGTATTAGAAGAACAAGAATGGAAGCTTACCTCATTTTTTTTATAAAGATTATCCCAAGACCGGGGCTGCAGAACTGTGCACATCATGAAAGCCCTATTTTTTACTCTCAGAAGTCTTAATTACTAATTAATAAATATGAATGTCTTTCAAAAGACCAAAGTCAAATTTGCAGCTTTTTAGTGATTGATTGACTTATGGTTAAAAAGTTAGAGCTCGAATGAAGAAATTATGCGGTAAGTTGTTTATATGAGTAGACTTATGATGTCATTTGTTAGAACTTCCGTATTTTTATCCCTTTGTTCTTGATAAAAGGTTAAATTTTGATCGTAAACTTCTTTTGTCATGCAAACTAACGTGTCTCGATTCTATCTTTAAGCATCTCACCGCTTTAGTTTAAAAATCAAATCAAAAAGAAGCATCTCACCGCTTTAGTTTAAGAATCAAATCAAAAAGAAATCTTGAAAGATGCTCGAAAATTATTTTAAAACGCCTTAACTAAAGAATCAAAGTCACTAAAAGGCATCAAATTTTAAAGAGTTCAATATTTGCAAATTCCCTGCTTAAGCATTACGGTATGCGTGACAGCTAATGTCACATCTTGTCAGGGGAAACCCCGTTGGAACGGTTACGATACGATTCGAAAGTACACGATCGACTTCCTGTTTTTTTTAGAGAGCCCAAGTGTTTTAAAAACCATTTTTGGTTTCGAACTCATCATTACTAAACATATCCTGAACCCCTTTTCAATTAAAACTGTTATGCAAAATCTCCCAAAAAATGATCGATGTATATACGATTGATTGCTCATATACAAATGTATGATTAAATTTGTTTACGAGAAAGGGATGTAACGGAGCTGCATCTGTCCTACATCGTAATGTTTTTATCTCACATTCGCTCAGGCGGGAAGAATTTAATTTTGCTAAAGAACATAGGTCAAGTTATATTTTTACAAATATAGAAATTTTCTAAATACAAAATAAAATGGTGGTTTCTTAAATTGGTTTCTTGCGATTGTTCTAAGATGCAACTTGTTGATAAGCCTCTTTTGTTTGCTCCTTGTGAGACTTTTTTTTATGCAAGCTGAGTGAAGACATCTAGATTGGTTTATGAAGGACCGAATTTATTCAAGACCGGCGTTAAGCGAGATAAAAGTTGAAAATAATAATAATAGGAGGATCCCCTCATCTCAAATGAACGTTTCACTTTTGTTTAATATGCTCAAATATAAAATAATTACAGAAAGAAGAGTTTTCCCCATTCTTTCAGGAATCTATTCTATGCTTATATCTCGTATTTCAAATTTAGTCCAGTTTTGAGTGGTATTGCTAATATAAGAGCTGTTAGTCCAGTGGGCAAAGTATTATGAATTCCACATCCAAATCTGCAGAGGCACGTAAATTGTAGCGTTGACAGCACGTCTTATATCAAGCCAATTATGAACGTAATGCTTGTTCCAGGAAAAATAAAGGTATTTGCACAGTGACGTTAATCCATTTGCTCTAATTTCGAAAAGCAATTAAGTGGAAAACAGAAGTTTGTCGGTACCATATCAATCTTAGACAGGCTCCTTCGTGTACTACCGCTAACGTGTGATGTCAGACCGATTTTGCCAATTAAGTAAATCTTCACGGATGGGAATAAGCCTTCAAGCACCCGTTATCTCGCATCTTAGTTCGAAGGATGTTTCGAACGCCTCGTGCTTTTCTAAACGTTTTAGAATTTAACTTTCGTTGAGTGAAAAGACATGAATACTCAAAAAAACGAAAGAAAAAAAAAAGGGGGACTTAACCATTTGCCTGAAGCATTCAGGGGCAAATAAGGACAGTACTAAATAACCACAAACAAATCATTAAATTTTGTCCAACCTCACGATCGCACATTCATGGATTCAGCATTTACTTAGTCATTATTTCAGTGTCTGGTATTATACAGCATCAAAGAGTCCTACAAGTTATCGCCAAACCCCAAAATGATGGAGTGCTCGCAGGACCAATGTTGAAAATCTTACTGAATAATAATTGCCAAAGTATAGAAAATAGCGGAAATCCGAACAAGCAGTAACAAGCCAAAAAAACTAAGTTATAAGTCAACAGCACTCGCAATAAAGTGTCAATTAAAGATAAATCTTGTTTGGGGATGCAGAGATTTCTTTTTCGTGAAGGGATTATCAGAACAAACAGATTTATTGACCTTTAATCTAACGGGATTTTGGAATTGCATTTTCCAATTCACAAAACGCAGAGCTGTCATTAGAGGACTAGAACTGATCAAGGATGTGGGGACTCTGGATTTGTGCTGCGACTTGTGAGGACGCAAAAAGCCCCAAAATATCGCCTACGACTTTCTTTTCTCCGGTACAATAAAAGAAGAACGTGAGCATCAATCAAGAACGGCAGCAAATTTTTTAAGCCTTGTGGGTACTAAAAAGAATAAATCGAAAAAGAGAATATCTATTAGCTTAGTGCCTACACTACTGATCTTAGTGGTAGCATATTATATACAATAGTTAACATTAATAAAGGAAACTTGAAATTCATTTTTCACTAATTTTAAGGGCCGTTAGTAGCAATTGTCAAGTGGTCCAAGTTCAGTACTGGCTGCGGAACTCCATCATAACTGTTAGGAATACTGCTTAAGATTGATTTTACAAATCTCATGCTTTCTTTTCTAGTTTTGTATGGACCTGTATCGGCTAGAATACATGCTACCAAACACCGCTCTTT